ATTTTCATCGGCCCTCTCTCTTCAGGCCTCCTTCCCTCGCTCCCTTGCTTCTTCCTCCCACTCTCCCTCCTTCCCTCCGTTCCTTGACTTCCTTCCTTCCTTCCTTCCTTCCTTCCTTCCTTCCTTCCTTCCTTCCCTTTCTTGACTTCCTTCCTTTCTTCGTTCCTTCTTTCCTGGGGATCAGGGCCCTGTGCAGGCATCTCAGAAGGAGAAAAAGAAGGATGGGTGGCCTTTTGCATCCCTTCACCCTGAAAGACATATGCAGTGTGCATAGGAATACATTCATGTTTTTTTACAAACTATAGTCTGGCTCCCCAACTGGCTGAGGGACCATGAACTGGCCCTCGGCTTAAAAAGTTTGGGCACCCCTGACTTAGGGAAAAGGGTATGGTACCTTGGATAGTTCCTTTGAAGTTTATATGAAACCCAGTTGAACTAATACTGTTCCTGCAGTACCCACGACCTTAAATATAATTGTGATCCTTCAGTTAAGGAGGCCAACTAAAGGATTGTTGTACTTTATATGTGAAACTGAGATGTAGCATCTCCAACATTAAATTCAATAGCTCGTCCCTATTCTATGCTGAGTAAATACACAATTTGTTAAACAAGTAAAAACATTTTTTATCGTGACCAGGATTATTTTCTAGCTGCTATTGTGACTTTACAGACAAGATTATACCAGGTGCCCTTTCTTCAGATATTGGCATTCTCACATAATGGCTCTCTTTATTAGGTGTTATTAAGCTTTATGATAAAGCAATCAGAGAGATTCACAAGATATTGCACATCCCATGAAGAAACCATTCATTAGGGGCCTCTAATAAAACATAATTCTTCAGTACACATGTAGTACCTGTATTAGGTTTGTGTTGATTGTTTTGACCTGTCCTGTGCACTGCAACCACGTAGTGTAGAAATGAGTAATCATCATCAAAAACAGAGAAAGGAGAAGAAAGGTGGAATTTTGAGTTGCCTGAGGGCTGCCCATCCATGTGTACCTTTTCCTTCATCAAAACAGTTTTTACTAAAACTGTCCTTGTACGACATTTTGCACCCTCTGTGGCTGCCCATGCTTTCTGAAAACCCTTGGGGAATATGTCACATCTACAGAGAGTCCAGAACGCTGCCTGTGGAACATCTGAGACCAGTGACTCTTTACTATTCTTTTTTAAGTAAAAAAGAAATCCTTTCAAGTTTAAAACAAGGACAATAACAACATACTAGCCTCCGATGGTGCAAAAGCAGTCTTCTTGGCTTCCCACGTTTTTGACATTCTCTCAGAGGCTTTCAGGGAGTAAGGACTTCCTTTCCAAAGTGAAAGTTTGGCAGCTCCAAGGGCAGCCAGGTCTGCTTCCTATAAGACCAGTGTAGAAGTAACCACTGTTGAACAGAAAATTGTACCCAGGATCCCCTGTCTCTCCCACAATGAAAGAGTGTGGAATTTGCCATCTTTTTCATGGGAGGGAAGAAATACATTGTTAAGTGAAAGAGTGGGGTGTGTCACTCTATATACTGATATATAAAGAAATGAACTTAAGACATAAAATGGGAAATTATACAGGTTCTGGATTCTATTTGTTCCAGTATCCCTCCCCCCAGGACCTAACGTATTCTTAAGCTAGTCTGAAAACAGTTCTGAAAACAGTTCAGTTTTTGGGATTCTGTTTATTGTGTATGCTTGCCCTCCACCTTCCCAATTGTTTTGGAAGGCATTGAATAATTGCCTAAGTGTATGCTGCCTTGAGTCCCCTCCATGGTGGAGAAAGCCAGAGTAGAAATGTTGTAAATAAATAAATAAATAAATAAACAAACAAACAAACAAACAAACAAACAAAAAACCCCACTTCCTGGAAATTAACATTGTCACCAAAACTAATTTTGGCCAGGAGGGAGTAGAGAACCTTGTGGCACTCCAGTTCTGAAGAAAAAGGTGTTTGAAGGGTTGAAAGAATCATTTTTTGCCAAAACAAATGTATTTATTTATTTATTATTTACTATATTTGTATACCACCCTTCTCAGCCCTCAGGCAACTCAGGCGATCCATACTATTAAACGCCGCCATCTGTAATTCATCATATCACAAACTATATTCCTCATATCCAAATAAAGTCTATCTATAATGGTTTTTTTCTTAACTTGTGTAAGTTAATAACTTTTCTACACACCAGACTTTTTAAAATGGTGTACTTATTGTAAATACAACAATTATTTTGAAAAAGTTTTAAAACAATTTCAAAAACCAGTTTAAAGAAGAGCCAAAAACAAAATGGAAAAATAAAGTTAAGACTGAAAGGTCATCATCTCCAGAATTCTTAGTAATTATTTAAAAGGAAGCATTTATATAGGAAAGTTGTAGGGAGAGAAAAATAGATCAATAAAGCCAAAAATTGGCTATGTCCTCTTCGTCCTAGTAGATTGTGCCCCATTCTGAATTAGCATCTTTTTTTTTTACTGTGTCAGAAGTGACTTAGAAACTGCAAGTCTCTTCTGGTGTGAGAAAACTGGTCATCAGTACAGACATTGCCCAGGGGATGTCCAGATGTGTTACCATCCTGTGGAAGGCTTATCTCGTGTCCCTGCATGGGAAGCTGGAGCTGATGGATGAGAGCTCACCCCATCTCTCGGATTCGAACTGCCGACCTTCAGGTCAGCAGTTCAACTGGCACCAGGGTTTAACCCATTGCGCCACTGCGGCTCCTTATCACCATAAATGAGATAGTCAAACAGAAATGCATATGTAACATCTTTATTACTGTGTCTATCAAGCATCACTGTTATGGAAGCAAAGAGCATTAGCAACAACGTAATGTACTCCTTCATCTGCCTATGTTCTGACATAATATGCCATTCATGTAGGCCAAATAAATATTGCCTCTAATGTAATAAGATAAATTGACCAGGAGCAGGCACTGAAAATGTGAATGCATGTTTACAGGTCTCCCATGGTATTCTAATAAATTCACATGTGAAGCCACTTAGTCTGGGATTATTAATATACTACTGGAAACTGGTCTCAGCAAATTTTAAGCAGCTAGTCCACTATGAAAATTAGTTATATCTTTTATATGTATGTTTGCTGTATTGAACTTGCTATGGCTAGCAATGACAGCTAGTAAGGTCACAAACATTTTGACTAGGTCCAATTGAATGTGTTTGTTTTCTGCATGGTACTGTGGAGAATATACTGCCATCTCTTGTACTGCTTGGCTATTTGGTTTTGGTTTCGATGGATACATGTGTTGGCACACGCATATACCCTCCTTCTCTTTGTACTTGGAGTATATATACTTACCCACTGAGAGAATCATGCATCCAACCAAGTGGTTTCTGATTCATACAAGCTTATACCACAATAAATTTGCTAGATTTTAAAGTGCCACAAGACTGTTGCAGCAGATTACCGAGCTGTGCCTTTGGAGCACAAAAATGAAAAGGCTCAAACTTTCTAAGATTTGGTTTCAGATTTCAGTAGCAGTATTCATTTCCCTTTTATTTTAACTGACTCTGCTAGGAATGGCTAAGAATTTCATTTTTGATCAGAATTCTTTTATGAAATTGCACAAAATTAAAATTAGGATAAAGTCAAACTTACTAGTGTCGCCAGAATTTAGGATTCTGATTGTCATCTCAGAGAATTATTGTACTTCTCCAGGTGGGGACAAAAAGTCTCAGGCATTGAAAGAAGGCAAAATATGATTGTTTCAAATGTTTGGTGTAAAGCCAGTTCACCAAAACTCCAAGCATGAATAAAGTTGACTTTTTTTATTGTATCAGAAATGACCTGAGAAACTCCACGTCACTTCTGGTTGGAGAGAATTAGCCATCTGCAGAGATGTTGCCCAGGGGATGCCAGGATGTGTTACCATCTTGTAAGAGGCTTCTCTCATGTCCCCACATGGCAAGCTGGAGCTGACAGATGGGAGCTCACCCCATCTCACGGATTTGAACCACTGACCTTCAGGTCAGCAGTTCAGCCAGGACAAGGGTTTAACCCATTGCACCAAATCCAAATAGCTTTGGATTGATTGTGGGTACATGTACCTGCACCCATTATAGAATTTAAAGCAAGACATAGAGTCAAACACCTGCATCGTGTCTTGTGAACCATCTTATTGTAGAAGGGCACTAATGACATAGAGCCCAGGAAAAAAATATTCACCAAAAGCTCATGAATTCTTTATTTTGTAGGTAACACCACATGAGAAGTGAGCCTTTGTGATGAGAGCAGCATTTGCTGCCTTGCAGCTACCAAAAAAATATTCCTCAATGCCAGAGTGCCACATTATCTGGTTAGCCCAGTTTTACCAGATCTGGGCTCATTTATGCTGATTGTTCTTATTCCCATTTCCATAGTCACCAGAACCACTGGGCTCACTATACAAGGGTCTGATCCAGTCATATATTGAGGCATAGGAAACAATTGGTAACTCTGGACAAACAATAGATTTTCTCATCCATAGATTGTGGTGTAATCTGGTCTTGAAGGCTTTGCAAATACCTTTGAAGTTTAGTTTACTATCCAAAACTGCTGAACATTTGCTTCAGTCTGGTCTATAGAAATGGGTGATGTAGGCATGTGATGCCATTAATTTAATTGAAATGGATAGTGCCTTGGAATGTGACTTCCACTGAGCTACAATCTGTTTTTTTTTTTAAATCAAGGGAGGAGAGGTTGCACAGATCAATAGTATCCCCATCTATATCATAGCAATCAAGTTTATAAAATGTAGTTTTCACTTTCACTTTGACTGTACTCCAATATAAGCACCTAATATTGTTTTAATGAGCACTTTCCTTTCTCTGCACCTTCTGCATGCCTGTGGGTGAGCCAGGTCCCACGCATCTTCGAAAAAATTAGCCTTCGCAAAAAAATAAAACAGGGGGAATTGACTGACTGAACAAAGAGTTTATATTTGAGCATTAACAACTATATGCAGATCTACAGTCCTAGTTGTCACCCAGTTGCAAACAAACCACTCTCTATACTCTTCAACAGGCATGTCCAGGCATCCTCCCGGTCCTGATATGCCCACTTTCTATCCCTTATCTCCTGGCAGCGTTGGACAGATCACTCCGCCTCTTGGCTGGTAAGAACCTTTTACTATTTCTGAACCTTATGTGCTTGTGCAGGTGCTGTGTGCTTCTTGGCTTGAGACAAATCCTATGTCATTGTTGTTTTTAAAATGTGGTGTTCATTATATATGGAATTAGTAACTAAACAAAGCTAATAAGCTTTGAAGTACAGAGACAATTTTTGCAAGTGAATAGTTGGGCTTTTTAGTGGCATCTCATAATGTGTATTACTCTTCACAAGCTTTATGGCATATATACAGGAATACAAAGTGCATTCCCTCCCAATGTTGGACTGCAACGATCAACATTCCTCATTACCGGTTGTATTGCTAGGGTTTATGGGCACCAGAGTGTGGGAACAACTGATGGGACCTGTATTTTGCTCATGCCTGAAATAGGATTTAGTACATATATGAGTGTAGTTTTCAGACACTTTATTTGATGCAGAACTTACAAGACTTTGTCCTGAATATTCATAGAGTACAGTTTAACCCCTTGGTGGCGCAGTGGGTTGAACTGCTGAGCTGCTGAACTTGCTGACCAAAATGTTGGCAGTTTGAATCAGGGGAGTGGGGTGAGCTCCTGAGCCTGTGCTTCTGCCAACCAAGCAGTTCAAAACATGCAAATGTGAGTAGATCAATAGGTACCACTTCTGCGGGAAGGTAACGGTGCTCCATGCAGTCATGCTGGCCACATGACCTAGAAGGTGTCTACGGACAATGCTGGCTCTTCGGCTTAGAAATGGAGATAAGCACCACCTCCCAGAGTCAGACACAACTAGACTTAATGTCAAAGGGAAACCTTTACTTTTACTTACAGGGCTAGAACAGGTAACATACATTAAAAATGTGCAGTTTGTCCTCTCGCAGCTAAACATATATTACATCCATTTGGTTGCTTTTGCTTTCACACTATCTGTGTGGCAGATAAGTCATCTTAAACAGCATGCTAATAATCAACCCACTTCAGGATTTGTGATGGTTTGTGAAACCCATTCATTAAGTTCATACCCCAATCAGAGCTGAAAGATTGCTGTTGGATGTGTGAATGTAGATTTTCTCAACATTTTAAAGAATTGACACTACTAACCATCTGACTAGTTATACTGCCACCCAGTGAGAGAAAGAAATCTAAAAAGAGAGATTTTAAGACATATTCTTTGAGGTAAGGGTGAACCAATAACCATAATTCTCCAGTTTTTAGACTACCAACTTCAATTAGTTACAGCTGTTATGGCCAGTGGTCAGATATATGGAACAGTAGTCCAACATCTCACATCTACACATCTCAGCCCTTTAAGGATTACTGCTTGTAGCTGTTATTTGGGTTTGTTGTGGTGGAAATGTTTACATTATTTTTACATAGTTGCATACTTTGTTGGATTCATTCCCAATCTATGATTTAAATTGTTTAAACTTTTTAAAGAAAAGAACAATGCAATGCAGTGATATCACTAGGTTTGGTGTCACCTAATGTGGTAACCCCATGGACCTATTCCCATAACAGACTGTATCATAATACTGTAGCTAAAATATCAGAAAATTTGACAGTGTCAGCAACAATGAATGGCTAGTAGCAACAAAAACAGTGTGTGCTTGTGACGCATGTTGTTTTTGTTGTAGCATTCGAAATGCCATTGTAATTGGATAATAAAGATAGATCTGATTGGAACACATATGAAATGGAAAGTTCAAGAAGTAAATTAGCACAGAGTTTTAGCTTTATATGTACAGTATGTGTGAGGTGAGCTTACAAAATGTTTTCGCAAGTATATGGATATTTTTTATAAAACAAATTCTGTTGAAACTTTGCATAAACACTTTATAGGTAGTTGTTTTGGTGTCATCCAGTACGATTCACATCCTCCATGCCCCTCTGGTGATGCCACTGGCGTAATGACTTCATATGTCAGAAAGCAGTGCAAATCCAAAATTCCTTTATAATTAGACCTTACAGTCAAAAGAGCAGACTGTGTTTATCCCTCTTCTCTTTTATTGTACTATTGCTTTTCCACAACAGAAGGATTTATTGTGGTTTTGATTCCAGTTCTAAATATTGTCATTTCTTTCAAAGACTCTTAAGGCTGTTGAGGAGTGTGTATGTTGAGTTTTTGTTTGCTTTCGGCATGGAGAGTAAATTAAAAAATATGTTGGTAACTTAATTGGAGCCTAACGCACAAATCCCGATTGTGTACTCTTCTTACAGTTGCTAAAATGTGCTATTGAATTGATACTTTTGGTTTCAACTCTGCCACCTTTTCCTTGCTGCAATGTCTCTCCTTACTGTACATGGACAGACCTCTGTCTAAGTGGGAAGCCTGTCACGGGGAGCATAATAAAGGGCCAGCAGCTTTGGAAATACCAATTTCTTAAAACATTAAATCTGTCAATCAATAGCTCTGCTTGAATGGAATTGAGCGCAGTCTTTCAAGGATAGATCAATTATTCTCTCTGAACTTTGCTACTTAAGTGTGTTAAATCCTGCTCAGAACTTGCATCAATGCAAGCTGGAGGAAAAGACAATGTAAACTAAGCAGAAAAAGTTCAAAGTATTTGAAGCAATCAATTTGTGCTAGTGGGATATGGCATTTTGAAGAAGACTGGGACTTCAGAGGAAAGAGTTTTTGGTTTTTTTGTGTGCATTTTTTTTCTCCCTCAAGATTCATGTTTTGCATTCATCTTGCATGTATATGACCACCTTTAAGTATTGATCCATGCATAGGTTTCTTTAAATCTTGCCATATTTGCTTGGAAACAAAATGCAAAATAATGATTGCCATAGTCTTTTCTGACTATATACAGCAAGGATTGCTTTAGTAGGGCAGGGCAAGCGGATGTTGCTGTCAACAAGATAATTCATCTCAGAAAGAAAAGGGACCAGTGTAAACAGACTCTTATCAAGCTAATAAAACCACCTGAGTTGCCAAGGGAGTGGCTGCTGCTGTTGTTACTCTCCATGGTGCACTCAAATCAATACATTTCAGTAATTTCCGTTATGTATTTTGAACAAATTGCTGTTATCTCTGTATTTGCTATCTCCTTGCTAATCTGGAAGGTCTCTTCTCAGTATTGGTGGAAGAAGCCATGCTCAGTATTTTCAGTGTTGCTACTGCAGCAGGAAATCATTGTGAGACATGGATGACGAATGGCAATGTCTGTCAAGACAGATTCCAAAGCAAACTTGGACATTTGGCAGAACACCAAGCTCAACAGAGCACCCTTTATCCTAAAAAGATTGTCTTTTCAATTGATCTCAGATGCAGCCTATGAACATTTTTGAGTTTGCCTGCCCTACATCTTCGAGGTTGGGAGGGAACATATTCAGACCACCACAGAACCATTATTGATACTAGTAGACTTGGAGTAGGAATCAGCTTGTTCTGCCCACTAAAAACAATTTAAACCTTTATAGCAGTGGTTCTCAATCTGTGGTCCCCAGGTCTTTTGGCCTACAACTCCCAGAAATCCCAGCTGTTTAGGATTTCTGGGAGTTTATTTTTCCTCCTGTGTCAGGAGCAACTTGAGAAACTGCATGCCATTTATAGTGTGAGGGAATTGGCCGTCTGCAAGGATGTTGCCCAGGGAATATCCAGATGTTTTAATGTTCTTACCATCCTTGTGGGAGGCTTCTATCATGTCCCTGCATACGGAGCTGGAGCTGTCAGAGGGAACTCACCCATGCTCTCCCTGGATTCGCACCTCCGACCTATCGGTCTTCAGTCCTGCCAGCACATTGCACCACTGGGGGCTCCCTTCAACTCTCTCTGGGAGTTGAAGGCCAAAACATCTAGGGATACACAGGTTGAAAACCACTGCTTTATAGAAAGGAGCCCCCAAGTAAGTGGAAGTTGGTGGGATGTTTCCGTAGCTCATCTACTAGAGTAGCAAAGATAATTCTTCCCAGGTTGTGATTTCAGAAAACTCTGGGTCATCATCTTCCAGAATCTATATTCTGTGATGGTTTTATTGCAATGTTTGTCTTCTTCATTAGATGTTGATGGAACCCAAACTTTGCAGAGAGAAGGGTATGTAAGGAATACCTTTGTACAACCCAGTCTATTCTTATGAATTAGTAGAGTGAGTGGCAAACATTCCTTAGTTTCAGTCAAACAGTTTGCCTATTCCACTGCAGACTTGCGTATGTTTTAATAGCACTTCGACTGTGAGTGTTGTGGACAGTTACTCTCATAAAGGGTCCAACAGCAAATCAGTCCTCAACTCTACCCAAAAGCTAAATTGACTAATGTGAGGGCATTGTACTTTGGACATGTCATGAGACAACATGTAAGGCGTTAATGCTTAGCAAGTTGAGAGGCAATAGTAAAAGAAGAAAGACTGTATTACAAGCTCATAACCTGAATCAAAGAAGTCATGTTTCTGAATTTTCAGGAACTTAGCAGGACTATTAATAAGAAGATTTATTTATTTATGACATTTATATGCCACCCTTCTCACCTTGAAGGGGTCTCTGAGCAGCTTATAAGATATACTGTATATACTGGAGTATAAGCCTAGTTTTTCAGTCCTTTTTTTAGGCCGAAAAAGTCTCCCCCAGCTTAAACTCGAGTCAATGTTATTTATTATTTTACTTTGTTGCTGTTGTTGTTGTTGTTGTTATTATTATTATTATTATTATTACATTTATTATTTTATTATTGTTATTATTACATTTATTATTTTATTATTATTTTACTCTATTTATTATTATTGGAGGATATGTAAGGATATTTACATTGAAGAAGGTTAGAGTAATGGTTTAATCAGAATTGGACAGTCTTATCTTCAATTACAGTTTTATGTAAATATTCAAAAACGTTTAACCTACTAATGCCTAAATTAATATAATTTTATTGGTATCTATTTTTATTTTGAAATTTACTAGTAGCTGCTGTATTTCCCACCCTCGGCTTATACTTGAGTCAATACATTTTCCTAGTTTTTTGTGGTAAAATTAGGTGCCTCGGTTTATATTCGGGTTGGCTTATACTCGAGTATATACGGTATATAGGTGCAATATATTATATTATTAGCTTAGTACAATATCAGTATTAAATATTACTATATTGTACTATACCATTACATTGTAATATTATTAGTAATATTACATGTAATATAAATATATAATTATAATATCATATTATTATTAGTATTATATTGCAATACATTATAATGTTATAAATATTATATGTATATGCAATATATTACATTATATTATATTATGAGAATAGCACAGGAGACAAAGTGGAACTGTCCCCTGGTGACCTCTCTCTTCACTCTGGTCCAGAGCGAAGCAGTGCATTTGGATCACCCTCTTCTCCTACAGGGCCTGGTCTAGGGTTTGCTAGGAGCTGTAATCCGGAATAGAGTGTGGATATGCTATTGGTGGTAGTTTTTGCGCATGTGCTGTAACATCTTTTTGCTTTTTTTGCTTTTTAGGCCCCCTCTGCTATGTTTTTCAGTGTTTTTATGAGTGATGGTCATTCATTGGCCTGATAGGTGTATTGTGTCCAAATTTGGTGTCAATTCGTCCAGTGGTTTTGGATTTATGTTAATCCCACAAACGCACATTATATTTTTATTTATATAGATGGTATAATATTTCATGTTAATTGTGTGGGACTTACTTTGAAAGTAGTTGTTTCACTCCAGAAACTTCGTTTTTGTGGCTTTGTCTTTGAAGGCTCTCATTCATAGAGTCACCATAAGTCAAAGCCATCTTGCTTCTATTAACAACAAAGTGTTTAGATATAACGGCTTCATTTTGAGTAATTCTGTAATTGGATGTGGTACTTATAATTCTTTGCTCAAAAACTGTATTGAACTCCAACAAACTGCCACAGTAGACATTTTGAGTAAAGAATTCAAACTTATTCACCAAACAGCAAATCCCAGAATACTTTAGGATATGTTGAAGGGATGATTTCAAACTACTATAACAGTAGAGTGCAGATAAAATATGTCACATCTTATCTATTCTTTGAGAAGTTTTTCTTTTAATGAGAGGTTGTTGATCTCTTTCCCGTAGGAACAATAACCCACCCAATTTCTTTGGGCAAACAAAGGGCTGTTAGTATATCTATTATCACAAACTAAATTCTAGTTGATTCTAATCCATTTTACAAAAAGCATTCGATCTTCTAGAATTCTATGCCAGTGATTTTCTTTCAAAAGCAGTATTATTGATGAGTTCCTTTCTTCTGTGACCTCAGGCAAGGTCAGCCTGTATATCCCATCTCAAGTGGATTCAGGCAACCCTACCCATCCTCACTTTCAGTCGACACTTCCATGTCAAGGTAGGTGTAGGTGTGGGATGACTGGCTGAGGAGTAACTGCTGGAATTAGAGGGACCATTTGCTCTTCTGTTTGTATCCTGGTCTCTGCCTCTGCTTGCTTCTCCCCGCTGCTCTCAACCAGCTAGAATGTATTTACATGTGTCTGTGTGAGTGTATGCGTGTTCTACTGTGTATACACAGCTTATTTTCATCACATAGCTATGATCTGAAGTCATGTGATACATCAGCCTGACTAAAGCTAAGCAGGTCTGGGCTTGGACACTATTTGGATGGGTGGAAGTATCTTGAGAACCTTGAATATGCTGCTTTTTGTTCTAATTGAAGAAAGCTGGAATATAAATATACCTAGGAATAATTTATTTTGATATTTTGGAACCACATGAACATAACTAAAAAAGTATTAATAGAGACTGCTCTCACCTGACCCCCACAAATACTCTAATATTTGCAGCACAGAATGGAGCCCCTGGAAGCACAATGGGTTAAACCCTTGTGCCGGCAGGACTGCTGACTGACAGGTCAGCAGGTTGAATCCAAGGTTGAGTTCACGTCTGTCAGCTCCAGCTCACCATGCGGGGACATGAGACAAGCCTCCCACAAGGATGGTAAAACATCAAACATCTGGGCGTCCCCTGAGCAATGTCCTTGCAGATGGCCAGTTCTCTCACACCAGAAGCAACTTGCAGTTTCTCAAGTTGCTCCTGACACACACAAAAAAGTCTAAGTCTGCTTTAAATAAAAGGCAAAAGAAACTGTGTACGCATTGTTATATCTGTAAAGATGATGTGTGAGTAGGGTGTCATTATTAGTGTAGGCAAGTGGCACTAACTGGAACTTGGCACTGGGATACTTTTGCATTATTCTGTTATGCTATATTTCTGCACTTGGGTAAAATGGGATCTATATGCTTTGTTTGGTGAACCTGAAGATTACTGTGAACCCCTTGACATTTTGTGTATTAGAAACAGACATATATATTCAACAGCACTGTCAGGCCCAGGTAGCACAATCGGTTAAACCTTTGTGCCAGCAGGACTGCTGACCAAAAGGTCGGCGGTTCAAATCCAGGGAGTGGGGAGACCTCCCCTCTCTCATCTCCAGCTTTTTATGCAGGGACATGAGAGAAGCCTCGCACAGGATGGTAAAATATCTGGGCATCCCCTGGGCAATGTCCTTGCAGACGGCCAATTCTCTCACACCAGAAGCGACTTGCAGTTTCTCAAGGTTTTGGTGTGGGTTCCATCAGTTTCTTTTATCTGTGCTTTTTTCATTTAATTCTTTTTTTAAAAAAATCCTCTAGTTAATAGAACAATTACTACAAATTCCCAATTGTGCAAGATATTATAAAATTTTGCTAGCATGCTTTCTAGGAGCTAATATTAATTTCCATGTACTTTCTTGATGGATTTTACAAAATGTTAACAGTATGTTTTAAGTAGGCAGAGCAGTGAGAAAACTTAGTGGTCAAATAGCAAACTAGTTCAGATTGCCAACAGTAAAGCCCTTCTATACATATATTTCATACATTTGGTCTCAAAGCCTCATTATCCAGGCACCCTTAGTGTGGTCCTTGTGGACTTTGATGAAACATGAAAAATAGTTCGCCAACAGAATCGTATATATACAAAGTCCTGAAGATAGATTTGATATTGTTTTACAATAGAGAAGTTAGCTTTGTTAGGGGCTTTGTTTGTTATATTTGACGGTCCAAAGCTAGACAGTTTTGGCCACAATTCCTTGAAGGAACTGTGGTGGTAGTCTAGGATTTGGATCTTTGTGGAATGTAGAAGTGATAGTATGAATCTACTCAGTGGGTCTCAACCTGTGGGCCCCCAGGTGTTTTAGTCTACAACTCCCAGAAATCCCAGCCAGATTACCAGCTCTTTGGAACTTGAAGGCCACAACACCTGGGGACCCACAGGTTGAGAGCCATTGAATCTACTGAACTGCTCTTACTTTTCTGCATGATAATTCCTACCTTTTGTTGGCTGGTGGTGGGCAACTGAATTTCTTCATTTCATACTCGTGTGGAAACAGTTTTATCCTTCATTAAGGGCATTTGTTTTGTAAATGATTGGCAACATTAAATTATTTTGTATCTAATTCCAGATTCCAGATGAGGATTAAAATAAAAATGGGGGAACGGGTTCTCCTGGGTAACCGACAGTGGAGTAGTGAAGGCCAACTCACTGGTTCAAAGCCCCAGGACTTCTTATTAACAGGGGCTAAATTGTTGAAGGCTTTCATAGCAGGAATCACTGGGTTGCTGTGAGTTTTCTGGGCTATATGGCCATGTGGGTTTCATTAGATTTGTGGATTTCAATGAGTAACCATTGAATCCACAAACATGTGGACAATTTCAACAAAAAGGAGGAAATCATGAAAATGAACAACATCTGGTTACCAGAATAAAAAAAACTAAAATTAGGACAGTAAATAAAAAGCAACACTCAAAAAACAGGGGAATTCCAGACAGGAAACAATCAGGGCCAGCTAATACCTCCCAACAAAGGATTCCCCCAGGCTTTGAAGTTGCAATGCCATTCAGTGCTAATCAAGGTGGTCAATTGCAACATTCACACTTGCTTCTAACAGACAAGAGTTCTTTCTACCAACTGGACATTATTCCACAGATATATGAACCTAATTTTCCTCATTTCCAACAGACCTCACAACCTCTGAGGATGCCTGCCATAGATGTGGGTGGAACGTCAGGAGAGAATCCTTCTGGAACATGGCCATACAGCCCGGAAAACTCACAGCAACCCAGCGACAAAATTACGTGCCCTTTCCTTGGGTTGCACTCCTCCTGCTTGGATTAGTTGCAATCCACACAATCACTGGAAGGGATGCCAATTGTCCAACTGTTATGAGCTCTTACTACTTCAGTCTAATGTATTTGGGAGGAATGACTTTATACAAAGCCCTGTTCCCTGATAGAAGTTCTTTAAGATCAAAACAGCCAACTGCTTCTTTGGACTCTTCATAAGATTGTCTTATAGCTATTGTAGCATTACACCATTGATAGTTGAAGAATTTATGTGCTATATGCTTTAGCCTAAAAAATGTTTCACACATTGGTATGTTATTGTGGGCTGAAAATGATGTTGTTTTGATTCATGCAGTTGTCGTACACCATGTGCCTGTCTCCATTATGAAGAAGGATGCCCTCTTTCTGTTTTTGCAGGTTTTCACATCATATGATTCCCGGTCCTCCAGGGCCTCACACAACTGGAATCCCTCACCCAGCAATTGTAACACCTCAAGTCAAACAAGAACATCCGCACACAGACAGTGACTTAATGCATGTGTAAGTTAGTCTCTCATTCTGGTTATTAATTAATTCTTAAGCTGTAAAATATGAGAATTATATGAGCATGCCAAAAACAGAGCCTGGAAATGTTATTTTTCATTGAGCCATCATGCTGAGAAGTAGAAGCAATGCATTCAGATTATCTGCTAATTGGTCCATTTTGGGGACACTGGAATACTAAGTGGGATCAGAAGACACAAATAATTCAACTTTACCATGCTAGTTGAAGCAGAAGGCAGTAGAAAAAGAGGAATACCACATTTCAGTTGTAGAGACTCAATCAAGGGAAGCCACAGCCCTGATTTTGCAGAACCTTTTAATGTCAGGTCCCTAATTTATCAGATTGCCCAATGCAGCTGCTGCGATTAACAACTGCAACAATAACTAACCATGCCCTTACTTACTAACTCTCACTGCATTGAAATAGCGACCCTCGGTGGTGCAACTGGTTTAACCCTTGTGCCAGCTGAACTGCTGACCGAAATGTCGGCGGTTTGAATCCAGGGAGCAGGGAGAGCTCCCATCTGTAAGCTCCAGCTTCCCATTCAGGGGCATGAGAGAAGTCTCCCACAGGATGACAGAACATTCGGGCATCCCCTGGGTAACGTCCTTGCAGGCGGCCAATTCTCTTGCACCATAAGCGACTTGCAGTTTCTCAAGTCATTCCTGGCACTCCTGGCACACAAAAAACCTGGTGGTGGTAGTGGAGGTCAGAAAGTGTGTGCACACACCTTCAAGTTACCTCTCAACTTATGGCAACACAATGAACTTCATAAAGTTTTCTTAGGAATAGCCAGAAGTGGTTTTGCCAATTTCTTGATCTGAAATACAGCACCTGGCAGTCTCCTACCCAAGTACAAACCAAGGCTGAGCCTCCTTAGCTCCGAAGATCAGACAGTATATGGTGTCTTTAGGATATTTAAGCCCTAATTTTAGTTTGGTAAAAAAAAGGTTGGTGAAACTGTTCTGTTTTTCTGGTTTGTGGACGTATCGACTATTTTTTCCATGTTATTGCTGCCTCTACCAATTTTTCTGTTAAGGAAGTACTGCTCAGCAATGCATCTACTTCATTACTTGAGGTATACCTTTTACCTGCAAAATGTTAGATAATTGAATCCATATACCTGTTTGATGTATCATTTTTAGACATTTGGAAAGAGGCAAACAGATTAGTGTATTACCCATTACATTATATTTAATGCTATCTTCAGCTAATGGACAAATATCTGTATCTTTTAAAAGGACTGGATGGATAAACGCATTTCCATGTTCTAGAAGATGTTCAAGTTCTGACATTACAGGATAATCTATTCCTCAACACCATCTCTGTGTGTGTATTGTTTCTGGCAGCATTATCTATGGGTACATGTCCATAGTTTATTTGCACATTGACCAAAATAATAATCAAAGCTGAGTTATGATATAACAACAACAACAACACTTTATTTATATTCCATCCTATCTCCCCAAGGGGACTCAAGGCAGAGCACAGTACACATACACAGAAAACATTCAATGCCGTTTTGGACAGACAGGGCAGAGATAAGCCAGAACAGAAAGATGTCGACATCCAGCTTTTTGGCACCTTGGAGGTTGTGCTCAAATCCAGCCACAGGGGGTGCTGTTGCTCCATCCTCTATGATGAAGAGCCACCAGGACTTCCTACTTTCTTTTGGTCACCAGGCATTTTCAGATCTTTTTCTTTTATGGTGTCGTAAAATACCTCCCCTGCTTATTTAGCAGCACCTAATTTCTCTACTGATAGCTCTAAGTTGTTTTCAAAATGCTTAGATAAACAGTGAGCTGGGTTGACAGTCAGGAGCTCACGTGGACCCAGGGCTTCAAACTGGCAACGTTTTGGTTGATAGATCTTATAATTGCTGGTGATTTACCAGCTGTGCTAAAGCCCGGCCCAATATGCCAATTATTTGTAATTTTATATGCCAAATATTTGTAATTTTGAAAGTGACTCTGAGGCCCACTGTTTGAATGCAGAGAAGGAAACTGCTGCTTCACAGCCATCTATAAGATATAATGACTTAAAGCATACTGCTAATCCCAACGAAAGGAGACCCATTGACTTAATGAGATTTATCTATGTGTTGACTCATTGATTCAGTATGCCTACTCTTATTAGGAATAACCAAAATGATTCCAACCAATATATTTCATTTTTTCTCTCCTTGTGCCCTCAAATCCCAAGAACCAATTATATATGGCCACAGGGTGAAAACAGTTGATCCTCTGAAATGGAGGTATAAAGCGTCCACATTTACAGCAGAATTTAGTAACAAGTGCTCTCTTTCTGTATTTTTCTTCCCTCCTGCTACCTTTAGGAAGCCTCAGCATGAACAGAGGAAAGAACAAGAGCCCAAAAGACCTCATATTAAGAAACCTCTGAATGCTTTCATGTTATACATGAAAGAGATGAGAGCGAATGTTGTAGCGGAGTGTACTCTGAAAGAAAGTGCAGCTATCAACCAGATCCTTGGCAGAAGGGTATGAAATTGCATGTTTTGGGGTGTTTATGATGTATGTTCTTCATTTAGCATATATTATTCAGCCCAATAATCCACTACAGTTATTTGTTTACACATTGACTTTGCTATTATTTGGTAACCTTTGGAAAATCAGAATCTCCATAACCTTTTGGAGAAAAATGGCATTCACAACCATTTGAAAATCATACCCCTTTGTAAAAGTATAATCTTCCAGAGAAGAGCCAAAGAACTCGTTTGAGTAAAATCTTATCTTTAGTGGTATATATCCGCATGTACTTATGCAAGGCAATTTGGTTTTCATCTATTAGACTGATAACCTAGTTGCCTCTGATCTGTTAGGAACAGAGATTATGCCAATGCACAAAATACAGCAGTTCTTCAGAAGTGTTTCTTTCAGTTGCCCAAAAATACATCTACTCTCGCATAAAATATCTTATTTCTATATCATGCTCTCACAAGACAAAAATAAAGTAGATTTCGTTAAAAGTAACATATCTGGTTTACTCAAAACCTTCATGCATTCAGCATACAGGTATATAACTTGTCAATCCAGTTACAGATAAGATTTGAAGTAGTCTCTGTGCATATAACACAGGGCAACTTTCTTATAATCATTTATAAACATAAATTTACAAGAGCAAACACTCATAAAAGTCACATAATAAAATTTAAACAGTCATATCTCCTCACTCCCCTTTTAAATAATATAACGCAAAACTATCCGATAGGGTCAGCAGCTTCAGGATACAGTGCTAAGTAGGATCATGTCTTTCATTCGAAATCAAACATACCTAGACAATTGTGTAATGAAGTTGCTGCGGAGGACAGTTATATATGCAATTCTTAAATAATTTCAGAGACCCTTTTCAAAGAAGACATTTGACACAGATTTAAATAGGTTACTGAAAGTGCAATCCTCCCACTGCCTTGCTGCCCTATATCCTGCAGGGTGGACCATGTCTGTGTTTTCTGGTAACAATGGTGCATTGATACAACACTATAACCATATCTCCGATAAGCATTGCTCTGCTCCAATATGTAAAGGGAATAGATTTTCAGTAATGTTTAATTCATATTAGAACATACATTCTAGCACATATTTCCATATTTGTCAAGATATTCATAGCAGGATATCTGCTTTTAATGTATAGTATTTTAAAATGTGACTAATGCATTTATAAGTGGAGACCTTCATTGGAGTCTGGATTTTCATTCTCTTCTGATATTTCTGTAGCTTGAGCTGTGCTTGCCAACTACCTAAACCCTTGGCTTTTAGAATGGGTTTTGGCGTCAAGAGTGATTAGGGATCTATTTGCAAAGCATACTATGAAGTTTATTGCCTGGTCCCATCAAAGGACGCTCTGTGTGTTTGATTATTATGCTGTCTCAATGTGTCACAAGACTGGAAATTCCCACTCTGATTTTCACAAACATTGATTTAGCTTAAGCCCTTGTCTGTATTTTGACAGCTTTCTCCATGACTTAAATGGCTCCCAAGGTAACTCCACCACCCTTCATGGAACAGAGCATTAGTCTCAATGTTTAATAGCAACTTATACAAAGGATAGCACCTAGGTAGGAATCAAAGTAGGGTCTTCCAGGATAAACACTATGGCCATCATCCAGAAAGGTATGCTGTTAATGCACTGCACATCAGATGGTCTTCCTTAGAAGCTCTCTCTGTAGATCTGTTAAACCCTTCTTTGTGTTTTTTAGATGAGTATATGGCAAATGAGCTCCTTAAGAGTGTGAATGTGTCAATTGCATATGCACACTTCTCTGCCTGGGTGAATAATACAGGTGAAACCCTCCTGGATGAAGGCAGCTATAACGTTTTTGTAGTAATATCCTTAACATGGAGACATTTTGGCATTCAGTTCAGACTTCCCACTACTTTCTAGGATCAAGCATAGACCCCTTCCACATTCTCCCTATATCCCAGAATCTGATTCCAGTTATCTGTTTATCTCAGATTATTTGGCAGTGGAGACTCATATAATCCAGATCAAAGCAGATAATCTGGGATCAGAACCTGGGATATAGGACTGTGAAGAAGGGGGCATAGTCATGTGGCCTACTAGATATTAGACTGCAATTCCCAGCATTCTTGATATTGGCTATGGTGTCTAGTGTTGCTGGGAGTCTAGTCCAGCAATGCATAAGTGGCTGCATTATTCCCACCCCTGGCTTACTACAAACAGCAGTGATAATACATTCCTGCTAAGGTCCCTTCTACACTGACATACAATCCACATTATCAAAGCAGATAAACTACATTATCTGCTTTGAACTGGATTATATGAGTCTAATTCAAAGCAGATAATGTAGATTATAATGCAGAATTGGATTATACAAGTCTACTGTGCTCCCTGGTGGCCCAGTGGGTTAAACTGCTGAGCTGTTGAACTTGCTGACCAAAAGGTTGGTGGTTCGAATCTGAGGAATGGGATGAGCTCCGGCTGTTAGGCCCAGCTTCTGCTAACCTAGCAGTTTGAAAACATGCAAATGTGAGTAGATCAACAGGTTCCGCTTCTGCAGGTAGGTAAAAGCTCTCCATGCAAGCATGCTGGTCACATGACCTTGTCTACAAACACCGTCAGCTCTTCAGCTTGGAAACTGAGCTGAGCACCACCCCGCAGAGTTGGAGACGACTAGACTTCATGTCAGGGGAAACCTTTACCTATATGAGTCTACATTGCCATATAATCCAGTTCAAAGCAGATAATCTGGGTTTTGTATGTCAGTGTAGAAGGGGCCTAAGAGATCACATCCAAAGAAGAATGAACACAGAGATATGTCGGCTCCCTAATAAACCAAGAATAGAAGCCTCCTTTTAGGAAAAAAAAGGGGTCACTGTTGATAGCTAAAGAAGTATTTGTCTTGTCAAAGTGTACATCTGTCATATCCATTCCTTAAGAAGGATGGAAATTCTCTTATAATTTAGCTCACAACTGATGGACCTTTTTCTTTTCTTTTCTTTTTTTTCTTTTTTCTTTTTAATCTGTGTGTTTGTTTTGCTCTGTTAGAATTGTAATACAATGGTATGGTTGCTGATGACACGATAAATAAATAAAACTGATGGACTTGGAACTTTTTTATACTATCTCTAGTGAAGTGGCTTTCTCTTTTTGCAAAAATCCAATGATGCTCCCACCTAGAGTAATCCCTTTAAAATAAATGGTGCTTATATAAAGAATGACAAATATGCCCTTTACAGTGGGTTGCTGTGAATTTTCCGGGCTGTATGGCCATGTTCCAGAAGCATTCTTTCCTGACATTTTGCAAGGAGAGAATTCTCTCCTGACGTTCCAGAATGCTTCTGGAACATGGCCATACAGCCCAGAAAATTCACAGCAACCCAATGATTCCAGCCAGGAAAGCCTTTGACGACACAATGCCCTTTTCATTTTAGAGTATGTTCATAGTTGGGACCAGAGGCAGCCCTAGGTAATTTTCAACGGTAAGCAAACAGTATTTTGGCACCCCCCCCCCCCCCAATCATTGATATATATTTTTTGTTTGTCGTGGGAGTTCTGTGTGCCATATTTGGTTCAATTCCATCATTGGTGGAGTTCAGAATGCTCTTTGATTGTAGGTGAACTATACATCCCAGTAACTACACTTGCCGCACTTGCTCCCTTGCCTGGCCCGCTTTGGGTCTGGAGGCGTGCCTGAAGACCCCGGCGTGTGCACCAAAAGTCACCTCTTCTCCTGACTTTCTCCTCAGCCATTGGGACCAAGAGAGAGAGAGAGAGAGAGAGAGAGAGAGAGGTGGAGATGCCCACCTTTCCTGAAGGTAGGCGCAAAAACAAAGGAGGGAGCGGAGGTGGGAGATACCTCCAGCCGGAGGGGCTCTCTCTCTCTCTCTCTCTCTCTCTTGGTCCCAATGGCTGAAGAGAAAGTCAGGAGAAGAGGCGACTTTTGGTGTGCACGCTGGGGTCTTCAGACATGCGTCCGGACCCGAAGCGGGCCAGGCATGGCAGCTCCGCCCCTTAGCCCACCTGCAGATTGGGGAGAGGAGGCGGGTGGAGCGCCGGGGGATCGGTCATGGGGAAGGGATCGAACACGGAGAACGATTGAGCTCTGCTCGTGCACCTGGTGGCCGGGTGGAGCAGGAACGAGAGGGGCTAGGCGTGGCTCAAGGGCCCGGCCCCTTTGGGAAGTGGATCGCCCGGCAGCGAGGCAAGAAAGCCGAGGTTACCCCCGGACTGCTAGGGCTGTTGTGAGCTGAGGGGGCGCTCCTCAAGTGGCAGTCGAGGGGCATTTACAGAGGCGCCTCTGCGCCCCTGGCAAAAAAAAGTGTTCTGCGACCGCTTACTTCGCGTAATGGACGAGCCGCCCCTGGTTGGGACTAACACTCAGCCTCTAGTCCAGAATGAATCATGTTTCATGAAAGTCAATGCAGAATGTTTGTCCCATTATTTCAAGTAACTGTCTATAGTTCATTCCCACTATTTTTGGTTTTTCATACCTTATTTGATTTTCCATCCACCAAATGTTGAAGTAGATTTTTTTTTAAAAAAAGGGGTACAGTTCAAGGAAATATGGAACATATAGGAATTCTCACTCAGTTGAGTTCCATGTAGATTATATTATGATTAGTGTTGTTTACTCACACTGCCTTCTGAGTACATAGTAATTACAGGGAACATCTACTTGTGTTTGTATACAATCACTTCAGACTGAGGTCGGCTGACTGTGTATATCTGCCAACTCACAGAGGATTTGGCTGTTGGCTTGCTACATCAAATATCACTTTTCCAGCATTCACAATGGCCTGCTGGAAGCCAAACTTTGAACACAGTGGCAGATGGCACACTACTGAAATCACCTTGTAGCAAAAGGAAAATAGTACTATGGGAATCTCTCCAAAGCTCTAGTGAGGCAACGCTCTCTAAAGCAACAAAGTAGGAGAAGAAGTTGCTTTGGTCAGAAGAGTTGAAAAAGCACTGCTGCAAAACCAGTTTAAATTCAGCTTTACTGTTTATATGTTATCCAATGTTCACAATGTGATTCATTCTTTAGATTTAAGATACTGTTTAGCGTTAAAAAGCACTAACCAGACACTAACAAAGATCTTGGAATCCACATGAACAACAGTGTGATGTGGCAGCTAAAAATGCCAATGGGATTGTGGCCTGCATAGATAGGAGTCTAGTGTCTAGATCCAGGGAAGTCATTCTGCCCCTCTATTCTGCCTTGATCAGATCATACCTGGAGTACTGTGTCAGTTCTGGGCAATTCAATTGAAGGGAGATGTTGACCAGCTGGAATGTGTCCAGAGGAGGGTGACTAAAATGATCAAGGGTCTGGAGAACAAGCCCTATGAGGAGTGGCTTAAAGAGCTGGGCATGTTGAGCCTGCAGAATTGAAGGCTGAGAGGAGACATGATGGCCCATGTATACATATGTGAGGGGAAGTCATAGGGAGGAGGGAGCAAGCTTGTTTTCTGCTGCTCTGGAGACTAGGCCGCGGAACAGTGGCTTCAAACTACAGGAAAGGAGATTCCACCTGAACATTAGGAAGAACTTCCTGACTGTGAGAGCTGTTCAGCAGTGGGACTCTCTGCCCCGGAGTGTGGTGGAGGCTCCTTCTTCAGAGGCTTTTAAACAGAGGCTGGATGGCCATCTGTCAGGGGTGCTGTGAATGCAATTTTCCTCTTTCTTACCAGGGGGTTGGACTGGATGGCTCACAAGGTCTCTTCCAACGCTAGATTATATGATACTATGAGTCTATGACCCATACTGTGACCAAATTCAATACATACAAAATTACAACTGTACAACGACAATCAACGATAAATTAATAAGCAAAGTCCTACTCAAATGGTAAGCAACAACTTACCTTGAATATTCTTGGTAATTTTTCAGGATAGCACACCTCAGTGAGAATACTAATATAGACAGAAGGCAATCTAAATGTTGCAGTGTGATTTCTCTGGGGCATCTCAAATCTCTGGTTCTAATTTTATTATTAAAGAATGAACTCCTTGGGAAAACCATGTGCCTTCTGTGCTTCATCTCTGTCCCTTGTTGGCTCCCTCCCACGATCCCTGCTGGCTGGGTCTTGGAGGCAGCAATCTTCCACCCCGGTTTCCTGCTGTGAAACAGCTGACAGACAGCTGTGGGGGTTGGAGCCGGCTGCTCCTTGGGAGCAAAGCAAAAGCTGCTGTGCCTTGGAGAAGGGTGTGTGCATCTGCATAGAAACGAGCAGCTCAGTTGTGCTAAAAATCACCTTGTGCTGGAATACCCAGAATGGTGCCCCGGGGTGCTGTATGGGTCTGAACATTTTAGGAATGTTAGATCGTAGATTCAGTTCTTAAAAACACAATAATGTAGTTGTAATGACAGTAAAAACAGGAATAATAAAAATGTGCTGACCACCTAAATTTGAAGTATATGAAAAATGAGACTATATGAGAGAAGGCTGATAGTTGGAAGAGAACATACTGCATAACTGAAGAGGTGATTTCTCAACAAGAATAAAGATTTCCGTTGTTCTTGAGACAAAAAATAATACTAATTAAAGAATAGAACTGGTTGCTGTGCATTTTTCGGGCTGTCTGGCCGTGTTCCAGAAGCATTCTCTTCTGACGTTTTGCCCACATCTATGGCAGGTATCCTCAGAGGTTGTGAGGTCTGTTGGAAACCAGGCAAGTGAAGTTTATATATCTGTGGAGTGTCCAGGGTAGGAGAAAGAACTCTTGTCTGCCAGAGGCACATGTGAATGTTGCAATTGGCCACTTTGATTAGCATTTAATGGCCTTGCAATTTCAAGGTCTGGTTCAGTTGTTTCTTTTCAATGGCTCCAAATGGTGAAGGTGTCATCCACATCTCTGGACCATGTAGTGGGCTTTTTTGTTGCTGTTTCCAGGGCTTGTTTTTCAAAGTGTTCCATGTAGAAATTTGCTATGACTGGGCTGAGAGGGCTCCCCATAGCAACTCCATCTTTCTGTTCATAGAATTCATTCTGGCTACCAGTATTTAAAAAAACCTCTAAAATCAGGACAGTATATAAGAGGAACACTCAAAAAGAAGAGGAATTCCAGACAAGAATCCATCAGGGCCAGCTAACACCTCCCAACAAAGGATTCCCCTGGTCAGCAACAAGCCAGGCCTTGAAATTGCAAGGCCATTAAATGCTAATCAAGGTGCCAAATCGCAACATTCCCATGTGCCTCTAGCAGACAAGAGTTCTTTCTCCCACCCTGAACCTCACTTCCTTAGTTTCCAACAGACCCCTCAACCTCAGAGGATGCCTGCCATAGGTGTGGACAAAACATCAGGAGAGAATGCTTCTGGAACATGACCATACAGCCCGAAAAATGCACAGCAACCCAGTGATTCCGGCCATGAAAGCCTTCGACAATACAAAGAATAGAATATTTAATTCCTGCTACATAGTTGTTCAAAAGCCATGAACGTTGTAAGACCTTGAATTATTGCCAGCAATAAGTGGGAGTTAGATGGCTTTGAAACTAGAATTCAGTGTTTTGTAACTAATTTCACCTCTTTATTCAAGTCTTTCTTTGGTAGACCTTCTGTCAAGCAGTACTACTGAAGGCCGCT